TGTGTGTGTGTGTGTGTGTGTGTGTGTGTGTGTGTGTGTGTGTGTGTCCGTCCAGAATAAATCAGCAGCAGTTTCTACACAGACGCACACTCACTCTTTTAAACCAATAGGTGTCGAGTGTTTTGAGTCTCTTGGCTCCGTGTGACGAGTCATGCATTAATCTGACAGTTCGTTAAACTTTAAATGTTAAGAAGATATTTAGGTGCATCCCTACTACTATCTTATTTATTTATTATGTATGCATCAAAACATGCATCTCAGTCCTGAATGATTTACTCTAAATTTTTTCTAGTGTTATGTTAAACAATGTCGGCCAGGGGCGTTGGTCCCTGCTGAAATYCGATTGGCCTCCTGAAGTGCCCCTGTCCTGTCACTCATCKGTCTTTTGCCTGAGAGGAAYAATGGTGGGTGCAGTTCCATGCCCAAACACTAGAGGCGCTAATGAGTCRAATAGGAAAGTCAAGCGTGCATCAATATTACAGAGGTTTTCTTCTTTTCTTAAAAAGATTTGAACAATCCTGCAGAAAGTCTTTTAACTGACGGTCRATGACGGTAATGATGGTTGGAYTTTCTCACATGCTGTACTTTATTYATGTACAGAAAAAAATTGTATAAAAATTTGACAAGATTTTACGGTACAAGCATTTTTAAAATTACTTTACAAGTGTGTGACTGTTTAAATGTAGACACCTTACCAAAACCGAGGATTTGTGTGCAAGGACGTTGAACAAACACTTAGGCACCGCTATGAATATTGTGGCCCCTTACGCAGAAAAATCCTAGATCCGCCACTGACGTGGGCAAATTTTGCAAAACCAAATTGTAAGAAAAAAAAGGTTTTTAGATTTTTGGCCAGTAGCTACACTGGTTTCTTGTAGAAAAGAAAAGTTAGCAAGCAAAAAACTTAATAAATAAATAAATACTGTGTATATGGTGTGTGTGAAATGAGTATTTATGTGATACTGAAACGACAGTGTCAGCACACTCTCCAGACAGCCAGTCAGCAACGACCTTGTCTTACCGACTGTCTCTATCATCTTTCAGGGTGTGGCAGAGGAAGTATGAGAGCATGTTTGATGCTATAAATCACTCAATTGCACAGGATAACATCTATTTGTGAAGTGTTTTAGAACATAGCCATCCATGAGACAATTTAAAGATTTTGCATTTATGAGAACAGATTCTGGATCGCTTTATTTGCCAGAGTCGATCAAACTTTTGATTTATCAAGTCAGCTTTTTGAATTCATTTCTGGCTGTAATTCTTTAGTATTTACTTGTTRAACCAGTTGCAATGTATATTTAACCTCTACTAGTGCTGCCATTTTCATCTACTTTCTTTGCTCACTATTTTTCTCAATATGTCTTCATTCATCAGTGTTTTTTTTTTTCTTTTTTATTGTTACATCTGCATTCCCCGTCTTCTTCCAAAGTTTTTCAGTTTTCCCTGTTTCCCTCCCCTCGGCACTCCATAATTTATACCTCTGTTCCCCCTCATGTGCCTGAGAAACACATCATGAGACAGACTCAAACCAATGACTTTTGTGTTAGGTCCCAATGATTCTCCAAAGTTTCTGCATCTTAATCTGGACAAATCAGTGAATTGTATTTTATTGACAAAAAGTAGAAAAGAAAAGCCAAAACTGTCAAGAAAAACAAGAAACATTAATGATTTTATTCAAAAGCTTGTTTACAACCGTTTTTTTTTTTGTTTCATGTGTTTGAAATGAGTTGAGACTGACAAACCATCCACTGCACACACACACTCAAATACACACACACACACACACACAAACACAGACACACTTAAACACACTAAAACATCTGGGATCCAGCCCAGAGGGGTGGAGCTGCTGTCACACAGTATCACCATGATTTGTGTGATATTTAATGTTTTTGATAATGTCATTAAATGCCCGTTGTAAAGCAGATGGCAAGAATGGAAAACATATTAACTTCCAGAGACTTTATTTTTTACAGAGAAGGTAATACTTGTAGATAATTTGCTCTTAAAGATCCAAAAAATGGAGGAATAAAACATGCAGGCAGGAAAAGACATCCCAGAATGACGTTCCATCAAGAAATGTAACAGAGGAGTTTTTTTAACTACCTCAACCTGTGCCAAGGTAATGAACTCACATTTCCTGAGACTTCCTCCTCTAAGGGCTGTGTCCAAAACGACAGGCCGGGTCCTCCGGAGGACCCAGACT